TGCTCCCGCGAAATATGACACGAAAACCAAAGGGTTCACAGGACGTTACACGTACAATAATAAATTAACAAAACGTTACACTCGTGGTATGTCACTCGCACACTAATAAATTCGCAAAACATTACACACGCGGAATGTCACTCGCACAATAATAAATTCGCAAAACGTTGCACACGCGGAATGTCACTCGCGCAATAATAAATTCGCAAAACGTTGCACACGCAAAATGTCACTCGCGCAATAATAAATCGCAAAACGATAGATTCGCGTAACACATAACTTTACGATCATTTTGCCTAAGCATTAAATTTAGAATTTCCTTCATGCCTATTTAATACAAATGGTAGATAAACACTTACGTCTGCAGTTTTGAGTCTCAAACCTGGCATCCTCAAAGTAATTGCCCCATCATAATCCAGCCCTATATACAGGATGGTTTTCATTGTTACAAGACATTTTTTTTTTCTTCTTCTTCCTTTACTCTGAAAAATACGAACGATATTAGTATTTCTTATATAATACAAATAAAAACATACTTCTAGAAAGTTACAATAAACAATTTTTTTGTCAAATTCACGTATTCCAATTTCATACCACCCTTTGTTCGATCTCCGCCCTACAAATCCAAATGTGATTGGTCACTTTATAGGAGCACCCTAGCAGCGATCTGCAATAGAAGATATTACTCTATTCTGTCTTTCCTAGATATAAGAAAAAAACAATACTTATCTTTAAAATAGAATTTCACATTACTCCCGGACATTTGGACATCCCTTATTTGGTAGTTTTCAGTATTTCTCTGACTTTTCTGAGCACTGAAAATCCCCTTTCAGTAGCTCCCATTTTTCCTCCTCTCTTGAACACTCCAAAAATTTGACTCCTTTTTCCTGTTCTAAAACTGTCAGAAACCTTTTCAAAAACAAAACGTCACACGATTTAAAATTTTTTTTATGCCGCCTACAACATTTGTCACCTTATACTTTGACATAAAGCTCTTATAAAGAAGTTTCTTACTCCAACACGGAATATAAAATCAAAATTAGGGTTCGATCGGTCAAATGGATCAAATATTTAATGTTTTAGCAAGATAACATTTTCAATTTTTATGTCGAACGACGAGGTTCTCTACAGTACCCAGACTGTATTAATTGTCGAGTCATAAGGGCAAATGTTCTTTAGTCTAAGGTGCTCTGTTTACTTAGTATTCTTTGGATCTTACTGGTTTCTTAGAAATGAAGTATGAAAATGAATTAGTTCATCAGGCTATTAACATATTAGTGTAACTTGTTTGCTAACTTATTACACTCAGGCGCTTAGCCAAATTATGTTGGTGATTGAAACAGTTTCTAAAAGCATGTAGGTATGTTGTGCAGTAAAGAACACAGGTTCTGAAACAATAACTTAGTTAAATAGAAATAGATACTGATATTTTCTAGACTTCACTTCTTATTACAGTTTTTTAAGTACAGCTGTGTATCAAAAGCCGCAAAGGATTATACCTAATCTTTCCACGGCGAATTCCTTAAGCCTTTTCAACCTCATAATCTTTTAATCAAACTCTTATCTTGGCAACTGTACAATCCGACAAACAGCACTGCATTTCAACGTTTTGAGCGTTTCGCGTGGCGGAAAATGTGCTTGAGATGTTTAAACGACATCTTTGATTAACCGAGAGGTCTGCCACTTCTTTGGATTATGTTTGAATGGGAGCTAAAGCGTAGCATGAACTTTTATTCCTCATTTAGTTGAACCCGTTAGGCGCAAGCTCCATGGAGAAGATGTGGGACGTAATATGGAATCTGTCATAGAAGTGATCGTCAGAGTTGTGAGACGTGCGACAGACTTCGCGACGCTTAAACCGTTGCAGGCGAAGGTTTAATCTTGGTATAGTCAAATCACAAAAACATGATAACTAGCGCAGATAAAGAACATTATTCTGAGTTGGCAACATTATCGTTTGCTTCTCTCTCATATTATATGATATTTGAGCATGATGTCAACAATAATGTTGCCAATTTGGGATAATATGTTCTTATCTGCGCCAGTTGTAGGTACACTGTGTAGGCCGAAGCAAAAACGCATTTTCATGCAGTTAAAGTCCTGCCTTGCTTGCTTGGGATGTGAGTATGTAATAGAGAAAAGGTCACAATTTTTGTCTGATTCTGATGACTGGTTTTGGTTTAATACTAGAAATACTGAAAAATTGGCTTACCACGAAAGACGGCTTGGGGTCATTTGACCCCTGCATATCTTATGTAGCCTTTGACTGTTTTAATTTGGATTTCAACGTTAATTTCTTCAAGTTCTGGCTCTGGGCGTAATCATTCATCATCACCATCCACACTACCCGATAAATCTTCTGGTTTAGATTGTAAATAGCGCAGCATTTCTTGATCTCCAAGCGAACGCGATAGTTCGTTTCGACAATAGTTTTCAATAGAACTAGACCCGGAGTCGATAGAATATGCACTGTCACTAGTCTGTTCGCGCCAGGAAGTCGACCAAAACAATGAACAGTCTCATCTGAGGAATGTACGCAACAAAATCTACATAATATAAAATAAACAAATATTTCTGACTATCCGAGATAATGAGTATAACGCAGCGTTCGGGTCATATGACCCCAGCCGTCTTTATAGGTAGATGTTTATTTTTTTTTTCAATTCAAATTAACATTTTTCTGTTTTAACGCTGCTATATGTGTATTGATGCAATTTTAATAAAAGTCACAGAATATCTAGTAAATTGATAAAAAAGAACCGAAAATATTGACGCCAGAATTTCGAAATGGGTCATTTGACCCCAGTCCGTCTTTCTAGTGTTAAAGAAAAATTAAGTTGATTATCTAACAAAATAAAGCAACAGTTATGCAAAAATTTGTCATGAAAATATTCTTACTGCATGTATCACTGGAATCTAGGAAAATATTAAAGGATCTAGTAATGCTTACAACAGCAGTTTATTTTCCTTTAGAATCTAGATGAAGTTAAGAATTTTAAGAATCTGTGAAACGACTGGTATCGTTTTAGGTTTTACAAATTCCCCTACAAACTAAGAACTCAAACCATTCCATACACCGTTCCAGAGCCAAATACACTGATATTTTAGTACTCACCATTTGTAAGATTAAAACCAATCTTACGGCTAGATTCATATCTCAAAGAGCTTCCTGCATTCAAGAACTCTAGACCTAGAGGCTGGCTCTAACTTTAGCCTAGCCTGGCCGAAATACATTTCCAAGATTGTAAAATTGATATAGCAGGTTGGTTACCCGAATTTAGAGATAGCGTTAGTGCTTAAATAGTACTAAAAGAGGCATCCGGAAAATGTGTGAAACGCGGGCGAAAAATTTCGACTGAAGTGAGAGTTATACAGGTTTAAAATACATAATTAATAAAGCAAAACACCTAAGTTATAATTTAAAAAATCATCGCCGTTTTTTATTGAAATAAGTTTTAAATAAGTGAAGTGGTAATCATAATTATAATGCTGGCAACACTATGGTAAACTCTCAGTTTGGTACCGCTAAAAGAGCTCGTATCCGAGCCAGAAACTCTTTAATTAAGGCTCCAGCAGACCAATGCTACGTCGCGTAGACGCAGACGCATGCAACGGTTGTAATGTATGGAGCTGTGTGAAGTGCGCATATACCCGTCATTTTCTGGACTTCTTATTTTAATTGCATTGCGTGCCGTATCCGGTATGCGGGAGCCTTAACGCAGACGAAGCGCAGCGCGGGTGCTTTCGTGCAGTAAATAGTATAGAGATGACAGTGCCCCAAGTCTGCTAAATGAAAATCGTTTCACTTGGATGTCGATGGCTTGCATGGAGTTGCATGGTTTTGGTCATTTCGTAGTTTGCTAACAGTTTTTAATGGAAAATCACAGTGGCAATAGAATGACAGTTGTGTGTCGCTGGCATTACAATGGCTAAAATTAGTAGACTTGCGGCCCAGGTGTTGCGTTGCGTGCGTACGTCTGTCATCTGACGTCTCCATTCCATCACTGCACGCACGCACGCGTGCTACGTTCGGTTTGCGTTAGCTTTAAGAGCGTGCACTGCGTCGCTGGGACTATCAATGCGAGGACCTGCATTGCTTGAAGTAAGGGCATGCGCTGCTTATGCTTGCCGGTGTGGCAGGGTCTGCGCGACTGCGTAGAAATACACGCTACGCGACGTGACGCGACACAAGGCGACGCGTCCTGTCTGCGGAACCTTTACTTTTTCTACCTACTCTACACATGCAACCTCATTAAAAAAACTTTTTAGATGCAAAAAAAATATCCCTCGGTTGTCAAGTAATATGTTTGACAATTGATTTGTTTACTTTGAGCTTTGATATTTATTTTACTTATTTTGTGCGATTTTTATTGTTTAATACATATTTTACCGTTACCTGCAGACCAGGGGATCGTCAATAATAATTACATCAGTAGGTTTTTAGTGATTTATTGTGCTTTTTATCGAATAACATGATTTCTTGTGTTTTTGCCTCTAAATCAGTACAATCCAGTATACAAAATGTGCGAATGAAGTCCTATTTGAATACAATTTAGGTATTCAATAAAATTCGATGCATAGATAAGTGTAAAATGTTCTAGGGCATTAAAATATACCTATTTAAAAAGAATGAAATACAATGTTTGTGTTTGTTTTGGTTTAATGACAGATATGAATGACAGTTTACTTTTTAACATTGATACTTCTGCCATAATTCATGAAGGTTTTATAGATACTATGCCGTCATCTAAGAAGGTTCCATATGAGTTCGATGGCAATGCAACAAAAATGAGAACAAAAATGCATGTTCGTTTCATTTCATTTCATTTTTAGTACGACAATTTGTTTTTATTAAATATAAAAAAAGGAGGATTTTTAGATAAAATTAAATATATGCTTTACTAACATTTTAACTAAGCTTTAAAATGATATACTTTTTATATCAGTCGAAATTAGGCAGGCAGGCAGTCATCTAGGTAAGCACTATATTTATCTAAGTGTTCGCGGTAGCCCAGTTGGCTGTGGCATCGGCAGTATAGATGCCAAAAGTCGCAGGTCCAAATCCTGCCTGCGGTAGAAACTTTTGCAAGTTTATAAAAAAAAAACGTTTTAATACCATCAAGAAAGGCTTGTCAAATATTCCGTAAAACAATGTGTTTACGTGATCGATGGAGCGTGGCATCTCCCGACAGCTCCGATGCATACTAATGTGTCTGCACCCTATTTTAAGGGAAATTTTGTTGACTTTGGGGAATTCATACTACATTTTGCTAGCTAGAGAAGTATTGCTACACACCAATACGAGAATTCATCCTATTAAAGGTTATTTTAAATTCAATTTTGAGCGACAGGCTGACAACTTGCCACGGTGATTACTGATTATACACAGTCTTCTGAACGACTATCAAACTTTTGTCAGACGTGGTGTAAATCTGGTGTAAAATGCCGTTTTTACCCGACTGCCTTAGAAGGAGGGTTATGTTTTTCGAGAGTTTGTATGTATGTATGTATGTGAACAAGAAAATTCTTTTTCACAGGCTACAGCCCAAACGGATAGTTGGATTTTGACATATGAGTTGTCGTTACATTCGTCTCATCAGCGCGAGTGACACTGGCTATATTAAAAAAATATAGGTTCAAGATGGCAAATCACAGCAAAATACTTCTTCAAAATTACCGCAGTCAGGTTTTTTGTTTTTTAATACATCTACTTGTTACAGCCGTTACTGCCTGTAGGCATGATGGTAAGAATATGTATGTATTATAATATTCTGAAAAATATTTTTTGGGTAAGATCTACTCAATAAACTAATCAACTTTCCCCCTTCGAGCAACGCATCTTCCGTCCCGTTCCGGCCCGCTTTCCCCAAAGAACTTCTGTGAAAAGTTAAAATTTTGAGTTTTTGTAAAGGAAGTCGAGATGATTTTTCATATTTTTTCCTACGACTACAACTTACACTTAAATATTTGCTCTAAATTAAAAACCCTATATTTTGTGCTTACAAGAATAAAGAATGATTCCCTTTGAAGCTTTGAAGAACTTTACAAATCAATTTGTCGTCGACAAAGGAATCAGTCAAACTTTATCATAACACCCAAAGAAACTCCATAAATTACCCACAGAACAATTTACATATTCTCAGTTTCGTGGTGCATGTAAACTTGGGGTTTAATTGAAATTTTCTCATCGTTCTTGAAGAAAGTTGAGCGCAGTGCGGGATCAATTTCCAATTCAGAGTATTCAGTTCGCGTTCACTAGTGATGGGAGGTGCCAATGAGTCTTTGATTATGTCGATAAAATGTATTTGTCGCAGGTTTTTGATCAAAGACCTGCAAATGCCTTGTTCAGGTTTATGATAAAATTCTTTCTAAAAACATGAGTTTGCTTGGTATCTGACAAAATATACTGCTTACAGACAAGCTGGCGACACATGTTGACCCCTATCATCAACCCATTGGTTGATGCCAATTAAAGATATTGACGGCTGTTATCAACTCATTATCGACTGCCGCTGCCAGGTGTCGCCAGCTGAATCAAACTCGTTAAAAAAAACTCAGGAGCACAACTAGATATTGTGAAATGAATTTAGAACTTTTGTTTTGCCAAGCTCGAAGTAAACTACCTAATCTGTATATACTGATACTGACATTCCCAATTTTTTTTCAACTTTTACAACAAGGTTCATTCATAAATCACTGGATACACAGGAACCTGTGTCGTTGGAGATGTGAATTCAAATCGTATTCGTGAAAATCTTCAGTTTCTATATTTTTAAGAGAGGAAAGAAAAAGTTAGTTATAAAAAATTATATTTATTTCACCATAATCTAAAACAAGTCACCAGCCATCCTAGCACCGACAGCAAGACCGGCCCAGGTCTCTTCGGAAACCTGCGCGATGTAGCGAGGGTCGAGATGGAACGCATCACCTCCAATACCGGGCAGCTCGTAGGTGTAAGCCAGTGGCACTCCAATAAAGTGAGCGTAATCTTCAGCAGCGCCTGCTGCGGCGTAGTTCAAAACCAGAGCCGAATTTCCAACAATGTAGCTAGGGAAGTTAGGCAGCTTCATCCTGTCGATAGCAGCAGCCATGTTCACACCCACACTGTGAAGACCCAATGCATTGTTCGACAGAGTACCGTCGTGACCCCAACCGTACAGAATCATACTTCCATAACTGTGCATGGTTATGTACAAAGCGATTCTGTGCAAGTTTTCGTGAAGAGCATCTCTGACGACGCGAGTTTCGATTTCTGAAAAGGGAGCGCCGCCGGCGTAGATGTCTGAAGAAGGGTTGTTGCTGATCCCGACCGTGTTCCAGAAGAAGTCAAAGTTCCTGTTGCCGTCAACTCCAGGAAACATGACAGAGAGTGGATGCTGGTCGGTTGACCGAGTCTTGCGCCAGAAACGGTTCTGAAAGATGTACAAAATAAATTCACCATAAACATAAGGATTCAAGTCTGGAAAGTAATATGTTGCTACATCTGATAATGTTAACAAAGTTTGATGTTGATTTATTAAATATATGATTTAACAAATTTTGTTTTTTACTTTGTAATGCTTTTCATAGGTTATTTCAAATATAGATACTTACGTTAGGAGTAAATGTAAATGCGTATCCATCAGGGTTGACCACAGGCATAATAATCCAGTCGAATCGCTCTAAAAGATCAGGTTCGGTGATGTTCTCCGTCAGTTTATGGATAGCCCAGGTCGCTGTTGGAATAGTGATCCATTCTCTAGCGTGGATTCCAGCGTCAATGAAGATGATAGGTTTGGATTCATCTTCAAAATTAGTGGTGGAAATCTTCAGGTATTTGATGGGACGACCTTCGAAACTCTTGGCCGGCTCGACGAGAGTCACAGTGTCGGGGAAACGTTTGGCGATGTCGTCTACGTAATCGTAAATCTGTTTATAAATTAAAACATATCAGATAAAAAAACTATCAGCAAAACAGAAGAACCATGATCTTTTCATTTGTGGTATCAACATAATACAGGTTTGGCTTAGCAGTATAAATATCAATACATAGTTTTATTTTCCTGAATGTTGTACTTACCACTTCCAATGGTTGGTAATTGTCATAGGGGAAAGCTCTTCCACCATTTCTGGCCAGAGTCTCCATACGCCTTCGCTCAATAATTTCATCGTCTTGGTCCAAAGCTCTGGAAATACAGAAATAATAAAATGATTTACCTTGAAATCACTTGTATTTTCATAATACAGTAGATACAGCTAATCGTTATCAGTAACATGCGATAATACGTAAAGAAGTCATTTAAAAACCGTTGATAACAGTTATTTAATTTTAAATGATTGATTTTAATCACTGGATTTGTAATTCATGAAAATTAGTGTTGATTTGATAAAAAACTGTGTTTTTATTTGGTTTGGTTTTAAGTTTTAAAACACAAACTGAATTATATTTGCATTTTATTTTTAAATCTTAAAGGCCATTACATTTCTGCACTAGGAGACGTGTTTTTGCAACATATTTATGTAAATGAGGAAACAGTAGGTACTTGCCAAATACACTTCCTTGAGAGATGCCACGTTGAAATTCGCTCGCTTTTGGGCTTTATTTTAATGATTTATAAATCGCATAGGGACGACTGTTATTTAATTTGATTAGGATATTAATTTTTAACGATATCTTGATTTTTGCAAGCTACGATTTGAAAACTATCTGAGTAATGCAGTTATCAAAAGCCTTAGCTGGGTCAGAAATTACAGTCTTAATTGTACTTTTGATGCAAAGGCCACCAATTGCAAAAAAATAAAATAGTTTTTGAATTCAACGACAAAAAATAAAGATGTTTCATTAATTGATTCTTCTACAACGAAGTATGTTTACCTTTTTCACATTTTTAGAATATAAAATTTACTTTAACTTACTTCTTCACGTCATCCTTGTGGATTTTGTAGCTGATTTGCAGCTCTTCCAAAATATGAATGAAGTTATCATGCTGTTCAGGCTTGACCAGGACCACTCCCTCGCGGTTCACAAGTGGGCGGCTGAGGACGTCCACGCCATAATCTTCGTAGATGGAGTTGAAGATCTTCAGCTTTTCTGCTGGTGCTGGGCCTATATAATAGGACTTCCATCTGTAAGTTTCAATTCTTTTTTTGTAATTTTGTTCTCACTTTTGTCACAATTAGTTTTCCGTTTTTGATCATCTTCTGATTACTTTAATTAGTAATAATGATGAAAATACTTACCCTTGGTAAGCTTCATGTTTTGCGAAAACCGCCGTCGCAGCCAACAGCAACAGAGCCAAGACCTTCATGATCCCAACTTCCTATCTAACTAAAGTTCACGCATGACTTTACTTTATTTTATAAACTATCAATATTTTTGTAGATCCATGATTAGATAGGTAATTAATCGAATTTACGCGTAATGTTATCAAAGTAATCTGCGGATGCAAAGGATTTATTTGATTTTGAAAAATCTGTTATTATAGGTAGTTTGTTTGTTTGAAAATAAAATTAAAATATTATTTTCTACCTGTGGCAATTCGGCTCAAGGAATATATGGCTAAGATATAGAAATATATATATTTTTACTTTTTAAACGGAAACAGAAGAAAAAACGCTACAGTAATTATGTACCTATCTTAGGCTTTAAAGGATTTCGTAATGCTATAAATTATCTATTCATCTGATTAATTTGGCTAAAAATAAAATTAATAAAGACAAAATAAATCGTTTTATGCATTTACTCTTTTAAATCATCGGTCAAGACAATGATCAAGAAGCAACGCTCAAAACAGCTAGATTGGAACTTGGATATTTTTGGCCAGAAGTGTGACACTGTGACGTGGATAACTAAGAATCTAACGTATTAAATAATAATAATATTTAATTAAATTGCTGAGCAAGATCATCTTCTTTAACATGTTGGATACTCAGTACACTATTCACGTCACACACTTCAACACCAAATAGTAGATCTGGAATCGTTGTTTTGTCCAAAGATGTGCGTCAGTTATTTCAATAAAGCTGGATGAACCTGGCGTTGAATACAAAGTAAACATAATTAATGTCAAAGAGTGAACAAACACTAGTTTCCATAT